AATTAATAAGATTTCACAGATATGAGAGAAAAACTTATGTATTAAAATTAACTCTCCTTTTATAATTCAAATTAATAATTTATTTAAGTTTCATGTAAGATTTCAAGAATCTTTATAGAGACTTAAATTAATCACATCATCATGGGGATAATAAGTCCTCATAGATGTAGTAATTCTCAATCTCTATTGTAAATAAGTGATTTTTGTAAATAATCATATAATATATAATTCAAGAAACTTAATTAACCAGATTAATGTATTTAAATTATAACTATATTTACCGATTATGTCTTTTAGTCACGTGAGATTTTTGAATCTTTATAGGCTTCTAAGATCATTGTATTATCGTATGAGTCAATAAGACTCTGCAGATATAACGATTAAGTTTCTAAAATATATATATATATATTATAGTTAATTAAATTAAATCAATTAAATTCCTTTATTGTGTGAGATTTTAAAATCTCCATAGATATTTAGGATAAATCATATTACCGTATAAGCCAATAAGGCTTTGCAAGTATGATGATTAAGAGCCTATAAATCATATATATACATACTTAAAAAATTATTATTGACACTTAAAAATGTACATAAGAATATAAATAAATAAATTAAATTGCCAAACTCTTTTATCGTGTGAGATTTCAGAATCTCCACAAATATTTAGAGCAATTGCATTACCGTATGAACTAATAAGGTTCTGCAGGTACTGCGATTAAAATTCTCAATCATAAAACATAAAAAAATAATTTTAAACTCTTTCCTTTCTTTATTAAAAATTCAAAAATTGAGAAAATAATTAAAATTAAATTACTTCTTACAATTTAAAATACACATATAAAAATTTTAGAAATTATTTTATTTGCAAAATGATAAATTATTTCTAATTAATTTCTCTTCAAAAAAATATTTTCACCAACAAACTTATAAACCTAAACTACGTGAACTTTAATCCCCATCATAGGATACGTAGGCCTCAGAGTTAGATTCTGAGTCAAGTCCATCCTCCCACATAAATAAATAAATATTTCTCACTTAATTCTTATCATTTTCATATCAAACATATGAATATAAAAGAGATAATTAAAATAATTATAAAACCATATTAATAGAGCACAACAAACTTCAGGTAACCGTTCTGACGAACGGGTGTCGTGGGGTGTCTAACACCTTCCCCACGCTCAACCAACTCTTGAATCTATTCTCTAATTTTGCAGACTATCCTTATCCTTCATTAAACGGTTTTCTGAGATTTACCTCAAAATTATAGTGGCGACTCCTCATTCGATCCGGTTCCTGCCATGAAGGCCGGGACCTCCGATCGCGTGCCGTCCGCGTAGCATTTTTTCGGGTGCGACAACTATTGTTTGAATTTGATATTGATTTAAAAATTGTTATATAATTGTGAATCCTGCATTCCCTGTTTTATGTATTGATTGTGAAATACATATGTATATTTATATATATGTTTGCGAACTAATTTCAAAAAGCATGTTGGTATATTTTAAAATAACTAATTGTTATTGGGATTTTAATCTCATATGTTACTTCTTATCATTTTTTTAAGTGAGCAGTCAAGTGGAGCTACAGGGAAGGCACCAAAGAAGTAAGTTTAGGCTCCCTTCTCTTGGCTTGGCACGTGGTTTTTTATTTATTTTTTGTAATTATAATTGCCATGACCTAGGAACCCTATGTAAATTTTATTTCATATAATTGTTATAGGTTATTTGACTAAAACTACTTAATCTTTTTGTTTGAACTGGTTTTATATTAGGCCAAGCCCATTTATTTTGGATTGTACATATTAATGGTATAAAAAAATGTGTGTGTAGCAGCATTGATAATATCTACAAATTGTTGTTGAACCCTGAACTTGCTACAAATTGTTTATTGGGCTTCATCTGCCCTAAACCCAGTGGTAATTGTTAATCTCATTATCGTTTGTTTGGACAATTATATTTTTGAGAAAAATATTTATTTATAAAGAAAAAGGGGGGAAGGTTTCCTTTTGTGAAAAAATTTGTGATAAAAATCAGATCTGTTAAAGTAAGGTTTACTTTAGTTACCAAGTAGCTAGACTCACCTCTCTTCTGTAACATTTTACAGGCTCTAGCTTTGGTATAGAGAGGGAAAAAGCTCCAAAAGTTTAGGAATCTGGGTATTCCTAGTGTAATTCCTCTATGATTTATTTATTTTGTGTAATCGATTAAATATTGCCAATTATGATGCATTTTATTTACACTTACACTATAAAGTTAGTTGTGATGTCTAGTTTGTATTTTGGGCCCTGAGTTGATGTGTATGATAAGTTGTATATACTGATAGGGTCAAAATACTAGTGTAATTATATGAATGTTCATTTGATTACAATATGAATGATATTTTGAAATGTAATGCTAAAATCTCCCCATTTTATTTTTTGGTATTAAAGAGGTTGAGAAGTGAAATTTCCATAAAATGGTTTAATTGTGCATATTGTATGTTGTCCAAATAGTTCTAAGTTCAATGAATATTTTAGGTGCTAGGAATGGCTTTTAGCACTTGTATAGGATTTTAGACACCTTTTTAATTATGAAAGTTGAGAAAAGTTGTGAAAATATATTTGGGCGTCTAACTCCCTAGTGTGACTTGTTTTAAAAGTGAAACTTATGCCATTAATTAGTTTATATTGAAAGCTTTTTATAGACACCTAAATTATTTCATTCGAATGTTGGACAAAGAAATGTGACACATCAGAAGTTGCCCGAATTTTACTATAGAATTGCTGTCATATGCATGCAACACGCCGTGGTTGCGCATCACACTATGAATGACGAGTTGTGATTTATGGTGTGCAAGCCGTGGCACATTGATATGTTTTTATCACCTTGAGATTTTTCAACCCTTTTCATTTCTCTAAAGTATCTCATGCTTTCATAACACTATTTTACTTTGATTATAAGTTAATAAATGGTTTCTAAGATATTTTGAACTATGAAAACTTAGGATCCCATTATTTAACAAACTTAGTAATCTCTCAATCAATTAATCCCTTGATTATCATAGATTATGATTTTAATTTAGTAATCTCTCCATCAATTAATCCCTTGATTATCATGGATTATGATTTTAATTATATTTATAAAGGAAGGATATTTCACTTACACAGCAAAAGAAGTTGAATACTAGGGGCTTTTCTATAGCATACAAGTGGCTCGTGACCTTTATAATAAGGTGATCATTGAAAGTGACTTTGCTACTATGGTTCAAGATTATCAAATGGTAATGAAGTCCAACAGTGGCAACTTCGCCAGGCTCTTAATTTAATTAATGAGTATTGGCAAGTCGTTATGAAACATGTTCATAGAGAGAATAATATATGTGTTGATTAGATTGCGAAATCAGGTCTTGGTCATAACTTTAATTGTAGTATTATTGAGGTTCCTCCTAGAGGATTAGCCAATAGTTGTATCAAGATGTAAAAGGGCCTTCAGGACTCTTGCCTCTAGTATTATGTAAATAAAGATGCTTGGGCTTTTGCCTTATTGTTGATCACAAACAGAGTTATGTGTTTTCAATTTAACAAAAGTTTATTTGTGAAAAATTTATTTGACAAAAGTTAATTCAGTGAAAATCAGTTGTTGTAACGAAATTTATATTTAAATATTTTTTTTAAAAGTCAATTTGATAAACTAAAAATCGTTTGAATTAATGATGATTTGTGCTTTTGAATATGCAATGATAAAAAAGAATATTGATTTATGATAAGGGGTAATTTTTATTATACAAATATAATAAATTAGAAATGTTTAAAAAATATAATATATAAAATAATGGATCTCATCTTAGCATGTAAATAAAAGTGAATTGCCACGCTTTTTTTTTCTTCTATCTCCCTCTACTTTATAAAGAAGCATTCAATCCACAGATTGTAAATAGGATTACTTTCAAAGATTTAGCTCTGCCAATTTTATTCTTTCTCTTTTCTGACACAAGTTTGGATCATACAGGTTCAACTCGAGCTCACATTCTTTGCTTTGAATTATAAACTAAGTGGCTAGGCAAAAAAGCATAATGTGCATGTTCTTGTAACAGAGAAATCCATATAAAGTAGAGACAAAAATATTTGGCACCTTAGCCATGAGTATATGCAATTCTCTATTCTTAAAGCAAATCCATATATGTGCCATACCTCTTCCTTTCATAGATTTCCTATTTATTTTCAAAACCTTGGTAAATGTGGTAGTCTCTTGTCTGTTTTTAAAATATATGCAAACCTCATTTTAAAAATAGGAGAAGTGTATGTGCAATTTACACGTTATTTAATTATCTATCTTTTTTTTTTTGGAGCAAAAGCGTGAAATAAATTTCCATGGTCAGAAGCCACTATGACCTGTAATTATGATATAGAGTTAAAAAAAAAAGCTTTAAATTTCACACAAGCTTTCTTTTTAGTTTACTTTTGTTTATAATTTGTTGATTTCTAAAAGGATGGCGCAAGGCTTCTTGAGATAATCAAAAGAACCCAATATACTTCGATTACTAATGGCAATTCAAATTGATTGCACAACCTAATTCATATTCTTAAAGCTAGATATTGGAATATTTATTTCTCTCAAGCAATGTGTGTAAAGAACAGTAGAACAACAAACAAGCTAAAAAAGGACATTTACATGATATATGTGGATCTAGAGGATGCTCCAAATCAAGCAGAGTAAAAATGTCCTTAGGATTCACACAATGCATGTAAAGAACAACAAAAAAGTAGGTGAAAGATTGGCATTTCTATATCTTGCGAATGACATTTTCTAGAATAGCAGGCGAAAGGGTTGAAAAGCAAAATTTGAAACCCATTCACTTCAAATTCATAACAAAATAAAAACAAAGCACATCATTATTCAATGTTCCATCAAAAAAGAAGAAGAAGAAGAAGGAAGCCTCATTCACAAGCATAATAGAATGAAAAAGGTAAGGAAAAAAGCACAAAAAATGAGAGCAGAAGGAGCATGAAGACGTACCTAGTTTGTGAGCTCGATTAACTGACAGATGGGATGAACTTAGATGCATGAAGTGATTTTTCCTTCTCTAAGCTCCAAAATGTCTCCACAATACAAGAAGCACCATGATCTATGACAGAATGAAGGTCGTTGATGTGCGTGGCCTTAGATCTATTGAAGTCGAACGAAGAACACATGAACAAAGCGACAAGAGAAGAAGAGCGTCTTGCAAATGGAAGAAACCAAGGGAATGACCTTCGAACTGTGGTCATCGGACGAGGGAGCATTGAGTGCGAGTTGAGCGAGATGATATGATGGATGAATGACGATGGTGAGGCAAGACGATAAGAGGATAAACACACATGATAAAGAGAATCCAAGGAGGAGAGGACTATTTGAAGTTATGTGTGAATGAAGAGTATCATGATCATTTAAAAAATTAGGTACACAATTATTCCTCTTGTAGTTGCCCCCAACTCCCATTTGAAATCCTTCAAACACACCCTTATATCAACGCGGTTTAGCTTCTCATTTATTTATGAAAACAAAACAAATGATTATCATTAAGTTTTACACTTTAGTTGAAGCAAAGATAATCAGCACTGGCTGGAATGGATAAAGTAATTCGTTTAAGCTCCAAAAAAATATAAAGTACAAAATTCACTAATTTTTTTAAATGCCTTTTTTATCGACAGTTTAGTTCGAACTCTTCTTCATGACAAGGGGAAAAGGGGCTGAAGTATTTTCCCACTTTTTTTAAATCTCGCTAGGCTTCATTCATGCGTCTGTTTTTAATTTTGAAAAAAAATTAAGTAAAAAAAATACTAAACTCAATTTGACAGATTTCTATTAATGACAACGAATTGGATATGGTCATGAGCTTTATAAATTGTTTGGATGGATTGAAAATTGTCACATCATTTGTAGTTTTATTTTCTCAAATTCAAATCCTGGTTTATTCTTTGAATTTATCCTTAAAAAATTATTTGAAAGAATTAAATTAAGGAATTTAATTGTAGATTTATTTATATTTTTATTTGATAAAAAAGCTTCAATTATCAGTCGCATCCTTGCCGACTCAACGATGATTCTAGTGCTTGGGGCCTCGAGCGTTGATCTCACGCAGATCGGTTTCATAAATTCTTTGGTTATCTGTCTCAGATACCGGTAAACGCTTAGTTCCTTTATACCTCTGAGCTTCCCTTTGAAAACACGAGACGAAGAGGAAAGTTGGCCGAGTTATATTTGCGACTGACAACTCAGGACCCCTTTTCTTCCGCTGTTCTTGCATTTGTCCAGGTACTACTAATATCCTTTTTTTTTTTTTTCCTTGTCGAAGATGATCAATACATTAGTCGCAAGAACTTTGAACCGGTCTTGCAATTATCGGTTTCGTAGAGCTGCAAAATCCAATGGACAGTTCAAGTACCTGCTTCTAAATTTTGACGGTTACCTGAACTTTAGTTCTGATGCCTTTCTGGAATACCCGATGCGAGAAAACATTTGACGATATTAAATTTTGTTTTTTAATCTTTGTTATGAACATGAACCCCACTCCAGGCACTGGCAGGAGATATAATCACACACAGAAAATTTTTCGTTTTTTGGTCCTGAGTGACGCTCGGGGTTATGCGTTATTGGCTCTGGGGAGGCTCGATCGTTTACTTGTTTCTGCCTGCATATCTTTCTTTTGATGCTCTCATAAGGTAAAATTCGGTGCTCTTGGCTGGTGAAATGCCACGGTATAAAGAAGATAATATCACTTGGCTTAGATAATCCGTCTCCATCTTCTACTATGCTGTTTTCTTTATTCATTTCACCAAGCCTTCTACTTTCTCTTGAAGTATAGATATGAAGAAATTGCTTTGCTGTACTTTCGTAGTGGGTCTATTGGTGCCTCTTCGTTCTCCAATGCATCATTGCGAGACAAAAACTAATGGAGTCCCCTGCAGAGTCGTTTCTGTTCATTTGTAAATCCTTAGTTCTAATTGAAGTTTCCTCTTCTCATATCAAGTTCTTTTGTTTATTACATCTAACTTGAAGTTTCTGTTAATTTGTAAATCCTTAGGTCTTATTGAAGTTTCCTCTTCTCATATCTAGCTCTTTTGTTTTCATAGTGGGTCTATCGGTGCCTCTTCGTTCTCCAAGGCATCATTGCGAGACAAAAAACTAATGGAGTCCCCTGCAGAGTCGTTTCTGTTAATTTGTAAATCCTTAGTTCTAATTGAAGTTTCCTCTTCTCATATCAAGTTCTATTGTTTATTACCTCTAACTTGCAATAGGTTCTTTGTCATTTCCATTTCATCCTATATTTTCTTCATGATATAGCATATATGGCTTTATTTTTTGAGCGATCAGTTGAAATAAAAAGTACAAAAATTTAGTAATGAGTGCATAGCTTTGATATTATTTTACTCCATCTAAGTCATTCATTCATTGTGATTTGGGATAGTTAATGATTTCGCCTGTAAGTTAAATAGTTGAAATCTTCTGGTTGAAGTATATGCTATGTGGTCGAGGCGTCTGTTCTTGCACGGTTAAAAGTTTAAGCACATAGGTCAGCAAGAGATAGTCAATAATAAGGCATTCAATATTCAACCGTACCTGGATTAATTATCTTAATGCATGTACAATCCAGAAAGCTTGGTGACTGTAAGAGATCCACTTTTTGAAATGGGCATTTCTCATAAATACTATGATTGTTTAAAGGTGTAGATCACACTGTAGTCTTTCTCAAATCACCAAGCTTATGACAGGCTCTAATGGTAGATTGTCTATTTGAATTCTTGAGGATTTATTTTTGCATTATAGGGCAAATTTCACTTAAATTAAATTGTTCTCCTGCAAGTCTACAACTGAACGTCCAGTTTTCCTCTTGTTATAGCATGGACTTTATTAATAGTGTGAACTATGAAGCATGCTACATTTCCTGCTTATAAACTATCGGAGATTTAGCCAAATTAGTTGCCATGTTTCTTTGGTCAAAGCAAGAGGAAAGAGAGTAACTAGTTTCATGATTAGTGATGTGAGTGACTGAGTGAATAGTGAACACCGATCCTTTTTTGTATAGGCCTTAATTATTGCTGCATTTGCAGTGTAGTCTTTCTAAGGATCTATTTTCCTTTGACTTTAATTCTACAATGTTTTCAAAGTACTCTTCTAGTGTGGGTAAACTGTACCAGATAATCTCACAACTTATCACATCATATCAGTGGTGCTAATTTTATTGACTTCTCTAGATTTGGATTTTTGGAAGTTCCTGTCGTGGATTTTGGCTTTAACAGGAAGCTGGATAAAATGATGTATGGTGAGTGCTATTATTAATTCTTTACGTTTACCTGTAGCTCTCTGGATGGCAGCCCTCATTACCATCCGGATTGTCTGATATTGCATTTGGAAATGCATCTTATGTCCATTCTTTCATTTTCTTCTGATGCAACTATGAGTTAGTATACTTTAATTTTCATTCAGATAAAGCCTCAAAAAGGTTGAAAATCATATTTGAAGGAGTTGAATAACAACTACAATAAACCTCATCCTACTTAGTGTAGTTGGCTACATGGATTATATTATATCATTATGCTTTATTGACAATCAACTCTTTAGATAAACCGTTCACCAGAAGGCCCCATTCTATAATTTCCTTAAATGTTCTTTTTGGTCTTTCTCTATCTCTATTCATTGGACTTAAGACCATTTGATCAACCCTCCTCACTGGCACCTCCATCATCCTTTTTTGTACGTATCCTAATCACTTTAAACTGGTTTCTACCATCTACACTACGTTAGATGCCGCCTCACTTTTCTTCACATATGGTCATTAGAATTTTATCTTTTCTTGTATGACCACACATCCACTTCAACATCCCAATCTCTGCTATCCCATTTTTTTGTTCATATCAACAAATTTGAAGGAGTTGAATAAAAGTCCTTATTGTTTTGAAGTAAAGACAATCACTTAGAATGTCTATGACTTGTTTATAACAGGCTATTCTTCTGGAATTAGTTGTACATTTCACGAGTTTTGTGCTTGATCCAAAATTTTTATGGCTAATTTGGTCTTCTGAAGTCTTCGGACAAGTTTCTTGACATGAATTTTGCTCTTTTTGCCAGTTTATAGGTGTGTGGTGTGGAGTCCCATAATGCATGCCGCAGAGTTAGCAAGCATAATTTTTCATCTGTTCATGTGGGTGTAAACACTTGCATTTTTTAATCTGACTACCATGACTGTGAGAAGGGAATGCAGTATCGGGCTGTGTTAAAAGTTCATTTGAAGTTCTTTTGTACTACTCTAGAACTGATGTTGAATTTTGTGTGAACCGTGAAGCTTCTACTGCGACGTGTCACACATGACTGCTTGCAATTGCATGGCCTAAAAATGATCAAGATGACCATCTATTACCTTGTAATTCTATTTTTGATAAAAAAAAATGCTTCTTAATTTATTTATCGAGTCAATATAATTAGGAAAATATAATTTTGGATCCCTCTACTTTGTAGAGGAACCTAAAATAATAAAAAATAAAAGTGTAGGAATCTAAAACATTAAAAAAAAGGTGCAAGGGTCAAAAGCAAAACGTGAACAAAATACTGTAACCCAAAGTTATGTTTTTCCATATAATTATTACAATTTACATGACTCCTCGGGCTAATTGACTGTCTACGTTGATGAATTCATCAGATAAGAATGAGAACGCTCAAATGGAGGATGTATCAGCTGAAGCATGTCATCTTGAGTCTGATGAGAAAGAAGCCATGAAAAATATTACAAGATACTCGGGTAATGTAGAGGCAAAAGTAGCTGATCAAAAAGGTGGAGTGGATGGGGCAGAAGGGAAAACTTCTGAAGACATTGGCGCATCTGGTGAAGTTAACATGGAGGCGTCCATTACAGCTGATGATGTTATTAGGGCGGGGGGATTTGGTGCCAGAGATGATATCAGTAGCTTTCTGCCCGTTGCAAGCGACTCTACTGACTTCGAAGCTTCGATTCGTGATGCACGAGATTATGAAGAATCTCAGGGGAAAGTAAGCAGACCAGGCCTCGGTTGGAATGAGTCAACAAAGGGAGAATAATCTTTCCTTCACTGTAGCTTGTACAAGGGTATCCAACTTTTTGTTGTTTTTATCCTTGTTTGATTTGTTGGCGTTTCAGTTAAACCTTGTCAATGTAGGGGTATTCAAGCTAACTTTGGTTGGTTTGACTTTTGGAGTTGAGATGCTGGATTCTAACCTTGTTTTCTCCATTTTTTCCTTTGCCGAACCACGAGCTCTTTTCCCTCTGTTCTTACTTTTCATTTTTTTTAAAAAAATACATATTTTACCACTCTACGAATTATTAAAAATTTATATCATCATGATACTTTTGCCTCTCTTCATCGTTCCATCTTCTCACCAAATTTAAAAGCCCTGAGCTCTGGCCACGTATGACATTAATTGATTTTTACTGTGTAAATTTATGTTCTATGGGCATTGGTTTCATTGCTGAAGTGTATTTTTTTTTTAGTAGCAATATTCTAATATGTAGGTAATATAATTATTTTACATAACCAACGTATTAGAGTTTGTGAGATGCTTGTACGAATTCGAAGTTTAGCCACGCACAAGTTATAATCTTTTTCCCCTTTTGGTTTAGAAAGGTTCCTTCTTGATTTCTTTACTTCTAAGCATGACACTAATATTTTGAGATGACTGCATTATTATGCTATAAAAGTTGATTCAATAAATAAGAACGTAACTCATGTTTCAAAAAGGTTTGATTAATTATTAATTTATGAGAAGCATATAATATTAATATTAATTATAAACAAATTTATAACATTACATTCTTAACAGGAGGTTGAAATTGCGTTTTCAAAGATTCTGTGCCCTGGGGCAAGAAGCGCGAGTGGGTCATACGCTAACTTTCTTTGGAAGAACGCTTCCCATCTAGACCCAAAGTGGGCTTGCCACTCATCTTTGGTTGTGTAATAGGGAAGATATTGCTTCACTCCCAAACAAGCATCGGCACAGAATTGTAGGATCCGTTTGTTTTGGTTTATGATGTTTTCCAAGCTGTCTTTCCCTACAGAATTTGGGATTGCAGAGGATAGGAATGCCACGAGGTAGAAGACATCTTCCTCTGGTGTAACCAAGGAGGTTTTACTGTTCCACCTGTGAGTGAGGATGTGTGAGAGAGAGAGAGAGAGAGAGAGAGAGAGAGGAGAGATATTATGGGTGGGGTTTGTTAATTTGGCATTTTATGACAGTCAACAAGTTAAAGCTAGTACCTTGTTTGGTTGACAGGGTAAATGAGAATGGGACCATTGCTTGTATCTGTAAGGATTTTACCAAACACTTCTTGATTGAAGTCATGAATTTTGCTCCTTGGAATGAAAAGATTCAGCCAAGGATGGGGAACATCCCACAATCCTTTTGCTCTCAACTTCGTTTCAGAAACATGGACTCTGTCCAGGAACTCCACGTAAGAAACTTCTGTCAGGAAGATTGTGGAGGGAATATAACTCAGTTCTGACAAAAGATGCTCAACGCTCTGCATTTGGACGAGTGAACAAAAAATGAGATTTTTCTTCAGTGGGTCTGCGCTGTTACCAACAGTAACAATTAATGTTGTTTACTTGGTATGTCTCGCTCACCTGATTCATGGCTTCGGATGCTTCGGGGTTGAAGTATTTTGCCATTTCCAGACAGTACAAGGTCCTTCCGTGGGAATCGACTTGGCTGACTTTAAGTGGGTCTTTCAAACTGAAGGAAGATCGCCAGCTATTGAGGATGCCAGTCCTATTCATGATCACGAATCCTTCAATATAATCAAATGTATTTTCAATTGATATCAGATACTCTTGATCCCTGGCAAACACTGAGAAATCTGAATACAGCACTCTAATCCACTTCACCTGCATGAATAGATGAGAGCTTAATTCTTCTTTATTTTTAAGGACGTAAAGGTGTGTTCTATATGTGTGTGGTGGTGCTCACCATCTTTGGTGCTGGTTCAAGAGAAATTCTAGCCTTTGTGATTATGCCAAACTGACCAAGCCCTCCCAGGACACCATAAAATAGGTCTGCATTTTGGGTTTCTGAGCAGGTCACCACCTCTCCTTTTCCTACAACATGAATAAAGAAATATATATGCATATTTATATTACACACGCCACATAAACGTCAAAAGTTTAACTCCTATATCATTGCCCCACAATCTTCCATCTTCACTCGGTCTATTGAGAACACCTTTTTTTCACTATATTGCCATTCAACAGAGAAAATTTATGAAACTTGTCTCTCCCTCTTTTTTATGAAGTGATTGATATGGTGACGGAAATAAGCTATTTCAAAGCTACATGCTAACAACACGTTTAGGATATATATATATGCGAACAACTTGAAATCTTTCCATAAGACACTGATCACCGACTAGGAATGATTCGAACTTCGCACATGGATTCCAAAGCGTACAAGAAAAGCACACAAGGTCGAACAAGACAAACCTGTGACGACTTCCAGCTGGAAAACGTTATTGATTTGGGGTCCATGGCGGAAAGCTTGGCCGCTTATTCCGGCATTGGACAGAGTTCCACCAACAGTAAGGTGAAGATAATCAGTCCAAGATTTGGGTGCCAACCCATGTTTCAGTGTCTGATTCAATATGTTTATCCACAGCTCTCCCCCTGAAACTTCCACATACGGCAACTCTACTTGGTCTCTTCCAGTGTACTTCACTTGCATTGTTTCTGGTTCACGCAGAGACTCCATGTTTATGACCAAGCCTTGATGAGCTTGTGCCTGACCCTGAAGGGAATGACCGTGGCCTCTGGCGGCGATTTTGAAGCCAGAGGCAGAGCCCATCTCGGAGACAAACTTGATGACATGTGAAATGTCCGAGACAGTGCTGGGATTGAGAACTGCGAGAGGAGGAAAATGGTAGATGTTGCCGAAGTCTCTGGCGGCTAGCTGTTCAATAGGGTGGCCGTAGTAGGCGATGGAGCCATCGAGAGTGAGTGTCTGGAGGGAGAAGAGAATCTCAGAGGGAGGAAGTATGAGAGAGTTGTTATTGGAATAGCACATGGCGGCTTCATGGCGAGTAAGAAAATTGAGGAGGAGGAGGAGGAAGATGAAGACTGGAACGGAAGATGGTGACAGTGACGCCATTTTCAGAGAGTATATGTGAACAAGAAGGGGTGAGTTGAATGGTGAGGTTGGAATGGACAGGCAGAACAGAGAAGAAGGGGAAGAAAGCTTGAGAGAGTTGAGAAGGGAACTTGAAGGCAAGTGTTTGGGCGGCATAGTCAAACTCGAAGGGCTTGAATGTCCTTTTTATAGACAAAATCTCACACTTCGTCGCGGGTCTCTTTCGCAATTTTCTTTTGGATTTATTACACATTAGTCCGCATATTTACGTACAATTAAAAAGAGAGGGACGATTGTTCCCATGGTGACCAGAATTAGTCTACACTGATTCCTTCTTTTTAAATATTTTAAGCACAGTCTGATCAAGCGTTAGTGGTGCAAAAACAATATATATTAATGACTAGAGAAATTCATAAACGAGAAAACTTAAAAAAAAAATAGATGATAAAATAATAAGGTTTATTGATGACATGTATAAAAGATACGAATTTAAAAAATAAAATTTAAAATAAGTATAATTTATAAATTATACTCCCTTCATTTAAAAATGCAAAACATTTTTGAGAAGTTAAATATTTAAAAATATAAGGTATTTTTAGTCTTTTAAAATGTAATTATCGTTTTTTTTAAATGTCCCTGTTGATAGTAACTTTATATTTATTATAAGGTATTTAATAGGGATAAATATAAAAAGATAGAGTTAATTTGATAGTAGGTAATTATTTTATTGGAGATGACATTCGATTAAAAATGTCTTACATTTTTAAATGAAGGGAGTACCTGTTCTATAAATTTTAGAAATATACTAATGATCCATTGCAGCAAAAAAAAAAAAAAAATGGCAGAGAGCATGGATGTGCTTATGGAGTCGCACTGTAGGGCTTGAACTGGCGAGCTATTCTACCCCTTCAACAATTATGTCTGTATGTATACATACGTATACGTACATATACATATAAACGCACATATATATCGCGGATCATAACATTGCGTTTCAAGAATATTAAATATTTCTCCTCTTTATTTATCTCGATTTAGCTTTGTTTCAATTAAAAAAAAACTAATAACAAGTTTCTCCGAACAGTGTCATAAAATGCAATTTGAAATTTAGTTTGATGTAATTTGAAATGAATTCAGATATGTTTTAAATTAGGCGAGTCTTTTTTTGGCAAAAGAAAAAAATTAGGCGAGTACAGGAAGGCAAATGAATCTCACTCTCGATGAATATATAAAGTTTATATTATACATTGATGTTGTTTAAAAATACTAAGAAATATTTACTGTGCAGCATTTCACTAATAAATCTGATAATTAAATTGCATTATTATTTATGAATTATAAATAAAATGACTATTTATTATAGCTTTTTTTATCTTACATTAATGTTATTATGATAAACTTTTAAAAAGAAACTGTGAACAGACTTTATCGAGATTATGATTAACTGCGCTGATCCCGAATTATCAGACATTATATAATTAGAAGTCTAGTTTTCTTAGTACCATATGTAATACGAAAATATCAAATATAATTAATTGATGGAACAGTAGAGAGCAATGAGATGCTTCCAAAAAGATTCAAAATGTGTGGCAAGTAAAATCTTGACCAAAATATCAAGCATCCAAACATAAAAATAATTAGGAGGCAGAAAGTGTGACAGAGAGGCAGGAATAAGGTGAGAGAAGGGAAGGAGCTAGCTAGGGAGATTGATTGTTGTTAGTTGCTGGCAAATCAGTTTCAATGCTATTCATACGCATAAACACCCAGAGTTCTTCACCTCTAAACTATTTAAATTTAATTTTAATAATTTATATTTATAATTTTTCAGAAAGTATTTTTTAAATAAAACTTATTTTTTAAAAAAAACCAAACAGTTAAGAAATTGTTTTTATTTTAGAATTTATATTTATTAAAAAAATTTTAAAAATAAAAGTGAAAAATTGCAAACCTAAATCATTCTGATTAATTAAATTTAAATGGTTCAAAGATGACGAGTTATCAGTACACATTTGTATACCTTTAACTGGTTCCATGTTTTCGTGCGTGGGTAGAGAGGGAGAGAGAGAGAGAGAGAGGCTAGGTGGCAGCAATAAGGAGAAAATTGGTACTCGAGAAAGGAGGTAGCAGAGTGAGAATGAGAATGAAAATACTTGGAAGACAATATTTACCTTAAGAAGCAAAGGTTACTGTGGGCATGCGCATGGCCTCGGATAGGATATCGGGTCCTTCCTCCCAAGCCTCCTCGTCCTTTCAGGACCATTTGACCTTTATCATGATCTCAATCCCAAGCCAAGGGTTAGCCCTTCCCACTAACCCTTTGCTTTATTTCGTCTTTGGAAACTCTCTCTCTCATTCATTCTTTTGGCCCTTCCGGCCCCTACCATCCCCAACCTCCTCTTTCAGTTTAGTGACAACCGGACTCGCCTCCCCGGGTCCCATCCGCTTACACAACTCTAACTCTCTCTCTCTCTCTCATTTACTTTTCTCTTATAAATATTAATAGATATTCATTTACATGGTTCAGACTTCAGACAGCATCATTTTGCAGTTTGAACTCTTTTGTGTATCCATTTTGTTTAGAGAGCTTCAGAGTTCTGACTCTTCCACGCACAGTACACTGTAACTGTGAGTTGAGCTGAGAATATTGAAGATACATGAATTGATGGAGAGTGGAAGCCTGTGTAAAGGACACGTACGCAGACAGATTGAATGGCTACGTTGGAGCTAAAAAGCGAGATAATTATGTGTAAATGGAGGGATAAGGAAATGTTGCGTTGTGGTCCGGAATGGAGTCATAGCGAAGGGACTGACAGAAAAAGTTGGAGAGGGGATCATGTAGGGACGACTGCACGTGATCTTCACGCTGGTGCGACAATGGTACTATATAGTTAGGCTGTGGAGAGTAACAAGTGGAGAGAACCTATACCTACAAGAGGCTAGGCATGTGGAATATGTACGCACGTACTCCACAGTAACTAAGCACGCACCAGATTGATGCATACTCTTGCAGATCTTTACCACATGAGGGGCACGTATTAATTAATGTGGTTATAAAGTCATCAATTAATGTGTGGATGATTAAGCTCTTGTGTGCGAGAGTGGTGGGGATTTGAAAGCTGCGTCACACCTAACAAATATTAACACTGACACGGATCAGGAAGTTGAGTATAGCATTTCGAATCTGTTTAGTGGTGCCATCATGCCCATGGAAATGTAGGGTCCTGCCGCGGGAGGTTAGAAACCTCGGCCTTCGTGCCCATGTCATATTAAACATAGCTCCAAACCTTTGTCCTACTCTTCATGATGATTCCAATTTTAGTTGTGAAAAATCGTGAAACAAATGGTGGTCTTCAGAATATAATGGTTGTGTGAACCTTGTTAAACCTGCACGGACTTCGTCTATCTACTTGTTGGCCAAGTACCTAGCTTCGCCTGACCATATACAAACAGAAAGATTAGATTCTCGCTGATGAGCTTGTTCTGTTTTTTTTTTTTTATGCAAAGCCACAATAAGAACTGTGCAAAAAAAAAAAGTAAGTTATACCTAAAGTCATCAAGCTTTTACAATCAGTTGGCTAAATGTCATAACAAGAGTTTTGTTAGATACTTTGTGGGCTAAAAGATCAACGTATCGATTCACTTCTTTGTAAATATGGTTGAAAGTAATTTTTTAGTCTCATGATAAAATTCTTGATACTATTGATAATAGCAGATAGAGGATAATTATGAGAGAAATTACTTTCAACGAAAGAGAAAACTTTTAGAAAATCAAAGTAAACGTTAACTCTTAAAATCTTAGCATCTCAATAAAGATTGAGCCCTTTTAATATTCCTATGAGCTCAATTGTTGTACTTGATTGATATCTAAAATTTTAAAAAAAGTCTGTAATTCAATTATCCTTGTCATCTCTAATTAGACTTATACATGCCACGGGGCCATTGTGCATTTACTGAACCTCCACACGTCTCTAATTAGCTTGTTTTGGTTTTAGAGCACAATTCATGCTTGTCATTGGCTGACATCCTTACATGATTAATAATATGTAGTAAATAAATATAATAATTAAAAGTTAATTATGAATATGTATATTCTGATGAGTAATACACCCCCATAGATTCCAACATAAGGTACTCTTTTCGTTTCAAATTATAAGACACTTTTAATAAAATCTCACATACTAATAAACCTCATTAAATACACCTAACAATCTTATTTTTTTAAAATAAAAATATAAACTTTCAAAAATACCCAACATTTAATACATTGAAAAGAGAATGGATAAAAATTAATTATACAGAGAGAAAGGATAATATTAAAATTAATGTATTTAATGAAACCTTAATCTATTTGAGGCGGAAAAACTCCTTCAAAAATGCCTTATGATTTGGGACGGAGGGAATATTTTTTAGAAACCTTATCTAGTCAAATATAAAACATTAGATAATTTTTGTATTTATTTTTCCAATTATAACTATACTTCATTTATTACTCTTTTTAAAGAAAAAATCATTCATTAAAATTTTAATTACTATTATCAAAACTCTTATATAAAGCATTTAATGAGAGTATGAATGAAAAAATGTGAATATTTTTAAAAATTTAAGGTTTCAATTAATATTATTCATAAACTGTGAATTAATTAATTATAATTTATGTTGTGATTTGAAGAGGGTATAAATTAACCATGTTAAATGATTAACGAGCAATTAGCTAGATGTTATTGTTTTTCTTGTCAACTTATTAAATTATAGCATACTCCTTTCAATTTTATTTATAAGTCACCTTCTAGAAAAAAATCTTTAGTCATTGTTATAAGTCACTCTGCATTAAAAGATGGATCATTGATTAATTTATTCTCATTTTATCCTTTCACAATTTTCAATAAATAGAGAGTAAAAAGCTACATGAGAGAGATTTTTTTAAAACGATGCATTTAATAAGGATAAATTAAAAATTTTCTTTTTTTTAAGACAATATCAGTAACCTAACTGCGATTTCTTAATTTTGATAAAGTGAATATTAAAAATAACTTATAAATAAAATGGAACAAAATACATAATAATTAAGTGGTGGGTAATGTGTGTCAAACAAAACCTATACATATTTGCATTGTTAATTTACGGTTTGTGAATGATGAGGCATGCTACAAGTTTTGATATATTATTTTGGCTAAAGTGTATAATTTTTTTTTAAATTTTAAGACAGTTACATATAACCTTTTTTATTTTTAAAATTTTAAAATTAACCC